CCTTAGCCTATTTAAGTCACACGCGGTTAGTAAGTTTCTTGCGGGAAACAACTTGTAATTATCATCAGAGCATTTTTGGAAAAGTCTTATCGTATTTTGTTTTCTGGGCTGGTTGCCAACCTTTGCCGGACTTTGGTTTATTCTTGCTACTTAATAAATTTGATAAGGACCGTTGGTGTGTGTCAATATCCTCGGAAATCCGGAGCTGGGGCAGAACAGGACTCTAGGGGGCAGTGCTTATCTCCGTTTCAAAGCCGAAGAGCCAGCGCTCTCCAAAGACATCTCCATGGTCATGTGCCCAGCATGACTAAACGCCAAAGGCGCATGGAATGCTGTTACCTTCCCACCAAAGGTGATCCCTATTTTTCTACTTGCATTTTTTACCTGCTTTCAAACTGCTAGGTTGGCAGAAGCTGGGACAAGTAACAGGAGCTCACCACGTAATGCGGCACTAGGGATTCGAACTGTTGAACTGCCAACCTTTTGATCGACAAGGTCAGCTTCTTAGCCACTGAGTCACCACATCCCTTACTCTACTTCTCTGTATCATATGAGTCATTGTGGAAATCCCAGACCAATGACTGGCCATCATATTTGACTCAAAGAAGAACAATAAGGTGAACATTTATAGACTCTGTGGGTAGATGGTTCCCAACATAATTAACTGCTTTGGAGCAAGTGACTCACTTAGGCAATCTGATTTGGAATGTTGATTTATTTTAGAGTGTGATCAACTCAGGAATTAAATTTTTTCATGAATGTATAATAGATCTGTCCTTTATGTATCTGCTTATTAGTAGGGATAAAGCTGGCTTACTCTGTGGAAGGCATTGCATTTGGCAGAGATTTAGTGTGCATGGCTCAAGGAATAGCATTAAAAATATATACTTCAAAGTTATATTCTGTTTCCTCATTGTTAAAGCAGAGCTGAGCCTTGTGAAGTTTCATCGTCATCTTAAGTTGTATTTGTTCACTTAAGCAGGATAGATTTGTATAAGTGTTTGAAAAACTTTTTTTCAACAAAATTAATCATGGAAGTGCCAAGTTATTTTGGGCTATTGCTGTCAATGCTGTTACCTCAAGTAATCCCTTGTATGTTCTTTGCAGTATAGTGGTGGTGGCAGATACCAAACCACTTGATTTCAGGTCATATGAAAAGGAAAGAAGGATGTTAATATAAAATTGTGGTAATTGTCCAAAAGAGGATGGAATGAAGAAGGCTGAGAATTCTTGCACTTTGTTCCAATACTATAGCCTTTCTTCTATATTTCTTCTTTCTCTGTGGAACCAAATTTATAGTCACAGGAAAGGGTGGGCTTCAAAAATTTTAGCAAGGGGTTCTCTGCCCGGGTGCTGGGTGGGCGTGGGCATAGTGGGTGTGACCTAGTCGGCCTCCTGCACCACCATGTGTGTGTGTGAGGGGGCATTTTTGCCTTCCCCAGGCTCCGGAGGCTTTCCTCGAGCCTTTGGGAGGCAAAAACAGCCTCCCCAGGCTCCGGAGGTAGGCCCATTTTTTGCCTTCCCTGAGCCTCCACGCGCACTCTGCACTTATCCACATCCAAAACGGGCCACGTGAGGACTCCTGGGAGGGATGGAGTGGGGTGGGCAGGGCCATCCAGGAGTGGGATTTGGGGGTTTCTGGACTGCACAGAATCTTAGCTAGAGGTTCTCCCAAATCCCTGCAAACCCCCAGCAGCCCACCCCTGGTTACAGCCAATTTAATATATGCTTTGCTGAAAAGCATGCCAATAGTTGAAGTGGAGATTCACATCTGTGTCTGGACTACTTATAACTTCTAATTACCCAATTGACTAGAAACAGGGAGGTTTGCTTTTTACTTTGAGTTTTTTGCATGTACCAAGGAAACAGTAGACTTGAACAGGTCCTACAGTTGCTTTTCATTCTCCCAAACCACTGCTACTCTGCAGCTTGAAAAAAGACTTTAGAAATGGAGTATCATTTTTCACATTTATTAGATTTTGCTTAGATTTATTCAGAGAATTGGCGCAGAGTGCGGCTGCGTGGGTGGTAATGGGAGCGACATGGCGCTCCCATGTAAACCCCTCCTGCGCGAGCTGCACTGGCTCCCGGTGGTCTTCCGGGTGCGCTTCAAGGTTTTGGTTACCACCTTTAAAGCGCTCCATGGCTCAGGACCTGGGTACTTGCGGGACCGCCTACTACCACCAATAGCCTCCCACCGGCCGATACGCTCTCATAGAGAGGGGCTCCTCCGGGTGCCATCGGCCACACAATGTCGACTGGCGGCCCCCAGGGGGAGACCCTTCTCTGTGGGGCACCTTCTATCTGGAACGAGCTCTCCCTGGAGATACGGAGGATCCCGCATCTGCGCACCTTCTGCCGCGCTCTAAAGACTTTTTTATTTCACCAGGCGGACCTGGTCTAACTTTCTCCCTCTTTTTAAACAATTTTAATATTTTAATATTTTTAATATTTTTAATCCTTAAAGTTTAAATTTGTTTTAAATTGATTGGGGTTTTAATTTGTCTGGGCCAAACTATTTAATTCGATTTTATTTCTGCTTTTAAATTTTGTATGTATGTATTTTATTGTTGGCTGTTCACCGCCCTGAGTCCTTCGGGAGTAGGGCGGTATACAAATCAAATAAAAGTAAAAATAAAGTAAAGAATTTATAAAGCAATATAGTTTGTAGAACTTTTTACTACATCCAGCCTGTTGTACAAACACAAATGTCCAATAAACCCTTTGTTAACTTTTGAAATATAGTCCCTGATACCTTATGTGTGCAGTATTTGTGGAAATTCTTTCAAAGAATTTCAAAGGTAATGTCATGTAGCAAGTAAGACTTCTTTTTAGAAAAGCTAAATTCAAGGCTTTTGAGGCATGCTAGAAAGAGGAGATTAAGAATCGGTAGAAGGGTTTAAAATTAATCTCTATAATTGATATTGACTTCTATTACTAAAAAAAGCTGCGTATCCTTTAAAAAAACCCCTAATGAAGAATTGCATATAACTATATAATTGGCACTTTTAAAAAAATAACAAAAGATTTCTGATACAATCATATCCACTTTCCATAGAAGCTTACAATGTACATCATAATGAGTGTAGTAGAAGAGAACAAATTCAAAGGGGATTTATTTAGCTGTTCTTAAGCTTTATTTTAGCTTTAAGTATTTCTAATTTATAAAGAAAATTAAATTATATACCATGAAGCACTGATTAAAAATTCTATAAAAATGTCTCTTATTTAAAACTGATTTTTGCATTCTTAAGAGGACAACAGAACATATAAATGGGGTAAGGAGAGAAATAAAATTAAAATAAATATATATAGTATCCCATTGGGAAGCCTACAATTAGTACGGCTCTGCACATAAACAATACTTGTTTCCTTTTGCATTTTCACTCAAAGTTATTGATTTAAGAGATCTTGCTTCTGAGCTTCTTGCTCAGCTTTGTCTTTAAATGTTGCATTAGTTATGGAGTTGATTGTTACTGTGTAAAATTACTCAAAAGGAAACAAATTTGTAGTTTTGGAATTTGAAAACAATTCCTTTTTTTTTTTTGTTGTTGAACAGTAAAAGTACGATGGGCAACTTCTTTCTGATCAAAGTCTTTTTTGTGAAATACAGTCCAATTCTATGCCTAATAACTAAACAGAGAAACTCCTAGATTTATACAGATTTAAATTCAGAATAGGGGAGTCTAGAATATTATTATGTGGGGGGTGGGGGTTTCTGTAACATAGTAACATAGAAAGACAAGTTTCAATCCTACATGGTTCCCTTGCCCACTTCTTCATATAATCAATCAGAAGATTTGATTCATTTGTAATATTCTGCATAAGCTATTAATTTTGCTATTGCAGGATATCCATGAAGTACGAAAAACCTCTGAGAGTGTTAGGGAGATGACAGACACCAAGAGATCGCTCACTCGCAGAAGCAGATAATTTTAAGTTCATCTTGGGTGAAAAAGAGGGGTGGGTTCTACTTATCTTTACTACTGGTTCGCAATGGGACCGCATGCTTCTGCGCATGTGCAGAAGTTTCCTGATGACGTCTGGATCAGTGGGTGGAGCCTCCCACCGGTTTGGTCTGAACCGGGGGCAACCCACCACTGGTGACAAAAAATTTTTTTTCCTCATTCCATGCAGTTGTTTTGTTTTTAAAGATTTCTACGGTAATAACCTTTGACCTACACTAAGAAGTGGTTTTATAACAGAGGAAAAGATTGAACTGTGAGTAGCTTTAGAAGCCACTACATATAAAATGCCAGAACCTACTTTGGAGTTATGAGGAACCAGTCCCAGAAGGATGGGGCCTGCTAAATTTTGATTGTTTGCTTAAATAAGTATTCAAAACTGATAAATAAAGCCCACAGGGGGAAACAGTTTATTAATTTCTGTTAAAAAAAATTTAATCTGTTGACACTGGAAGTGAAGTAAGGTGTGTAAGTAATTTGATATTGAGGCTGTCCAACTTCAAGAGGCTCTGGGCAACTTACAATATTTAAAACACATAATTTAAGAAACATGATCGCTAAGACAGAACTTTATCAATAATATTTAAAAAAAGATTTGAAAAGAGCTCCACAAACACTCTAATCTCAAGTTTGGGAACAGAATCTTTGATAAATTATGTTTACTCACCTGAAGAATCTGTGTACCTTTACATTTTTCCAAAATGTAAATTGTGATATTTTTTCCCTTTTCACAATTCCATGAAATCTAAGTCAACAACAGTTTCTTTCCTTTTTTACTTACTTGCTCAGTTGTCCCACCAATTTCTTATATTTTCTACGTACAATATTAAAATTAAAATATAGAGCTGTTCAATTTTAATTTCTGATTAAATAATGTTTGTATGCCCTATAGTAGATTTAAAAGTTGAAATATAAGCTCTATTTTCAAAGCGCTAGAAGGTAAACTAGTTCTTTAAAATATTTGAGAAGCACTTGTCTAATCCTTGCAAAAGGTTATTTCACTTTCTAATTAGTCCTTTTCATAATTTCTTGCAGAATGTCTCTAAAGGCAATGGAACAACAGCATTTTCTGGGAAGTGGAGTAATCCTAAACAGTTCAGGTACATTTGTTTTCCTATCAGAAAAGCAAAACCAAAAATCAAATCAGTTGGCCCTCCAAATGTTATTATGTTAATAAGAATTAAAAGACATACACAAAAAACAACAACCACCACTGCCTAAAATCAATACACACACACACACACACACACACACACACACATGTATGTATGTATGTATGTATGTAAAATGTTTTTCTGTCGAAGCACCTGGTCTACCCCAATATGGAAGGGAGCATACTGCTTCCCTTTCACCTTTCAGCTCCAATCCAGGAGCCCTCAAGCAGTCGCATTTACAACAAACCATTTTATACCAAATTTATATTTGCTGATAAAGAAATAAAGGGAGACTAGTATAGATCTATTTCAAGCTATTTAGCTCTCATCAACTAGCCATACCCTTACATCGGATTCGAACTTGTGGCCCAGAGGTTAATACAACTGCCTAATATGCAGGCAGCCCAAGTTTGAATCCGAGTAAGGGTAGAAGCACGAAGCCGAGAACACCAGCCTGAAGATGACGAATGAGACTTCGTCGAAACGTCGCCAAGACACTTCCAATTTTACGTGGGAGAAGACCCGAATAACCAAAGACCTACATATATATATATATATATATATATATATATATATATATATATATATATATATATATTTCTTTTGATTCATAGGTATAAATGTGCGATATTTTTGCAATCAGGGTTTTTTCCTATGTTGAAAGATGTTAAAATGGCCATGGTGGGATGAAATCTCTATTCATCGCTTTCAGGCCTGTCAGAAATTTTAGTTGTTTCTTCTGTGACTTATGGGAGACTGGGATAGCACTATTTCGGCCTTCTTGGGCTCTTCAGCCAGACACACCCATATTTGTGACTCCTCCCTGTAGAGGTCAAATATTTATTTCTTTTGATTCATAGGTATAAATGTGCGATATTAAAATTTCTGACAGGCCTGAAAGCGATGAATAGAGATTTCATCCCACCATGGCCATTTTAACATCTTTCAACATAGGAAAAAGCTGATTGCAAAAATATCGCACATTTATACCTATGAATCAAAAGAAATAAATATTTGACCTCTACAGGGAGGAGTCACAAAATATGGGTGTGTTGGCTGAAGAGGCCCAAGAAGGCCGAAATAGTGCTATCCCAGTCTCCCATAAGTCACAGAAGAAACAACATAAAATTTGTGACAGGCCTGAAAGCGATGAATAGAGATTTCATCCCACCATGGCCATTTTAACATCTTTCAACATAGAAAAACCCTGATTGCAAAAATATCGCATATATATATATATATATATATAATATATATATATATATATATATATATAAATATATATATATATATATGCAAGTCTTGGCGTATTCAGGTCTTTTCCCATGTAAGATTGTGAGTATCTTGGCGACGTTTCGACAAGGTCCCACTCGTCATCTTCAGGCTCGTGCTTGTGCAAGCAAAGCGTGATCGGATCTGCCTTCTCTCTATAAATACTGGTGGGGAGGTGTGGGGTGCTGGCTTTGTTGCTGTGAGCGGGTTGGTTGCCTGTGTTGTTACATCTTGATTAGTTGATGGAGTTGATGTTTGCAGATTAGTCAGCTGTTTTGTAACATTCTGTGTGGGTAAGGTCCTTGATGTGTCTCCATTAGTCTTTTGTGTTTTAACGACCTGGGTAATGGGCTGGGTAGTTAATGTAATTCCTGAGCAGATGGCTATGATGCCACATCCCAGGCTTTGGTTTGGCTCCAAGTTTGAGATCTTGCCATGGTAAGATTAAAATTTGGCACTTTGAATCTTACCAGGCTCAAGGTTGACTCAGCCTTCCATCCTTCCGAGGATGGTAAAATGAGGACCTAGATTGTTGGGGGCAATATGCTGACTCTGTAAATCGCTCAGAGAGTAGGAGACGCCAAAGTTGAAGAAAAAGAACTGGAAAAAATCACAAAATATCGCGACCTGGCCATTGAAACTACATGGCTATGGATGAAACATGTAACAGCGATACCCATTGTCATTGGGGCACTTGGTACCATGTCCAAATTTTTTTAAAAAAACACATCAAGAAATTGTATCTTCCTGCAATAACACTAGCGGAACTGCAAAAAAATTGCGCTACTCGGAACATCACATATTTTAAGAAGATACTTGGTTGATACTTAGGACCCTGGCAGCAACCTGTATCAACCATTAGCACCAGTCAATGGTATTTGTGACACATTTTAAATTATCAGTTGACTGAGTTTCATGTTTAATGAATAAAAGAGATAATGCCTGGGATGCCCTTGCCACGGTCACTCATGCCCATGTCACGTCTCGGCTAGACTACTGCAATGCCCTCTACATGGGGCTGCCCTTGAGATGCACCCAGAGACTACAGTTAGTACAGAATACGGCCGCGCGGGTTGTTACGGGGGCTTCTCGATACTCCCGTGTGACACCTCTCCTGTGCGAGCTGCACTGGCTGCCTGTGACTCTCCGGGTTCGTTTCAAGGTGCTGGTGCTAACCTATAAAGCCCTACATGGCTTAGGCCTGGGTACCTGCAGGATCATCTCCTGCCTTCCTCTCACTGTCCAGTGCGCTTGTACAGAGTGGGCCTCATCAGGGTGCCATCAGCCAGACAGTGTCAGCTGGCGGCCCCCAAGGGGAGGGATTTCTCTGTTGGAGCGCCGACCCTCTGGAATGAGCTGCCTACTGGCCTCAGGATAGCCCCGGACTTCCTCTCCTTCCGCCGCGAATTAAAGACATGGCTTTTTCGCCATATGGGCTAAATCCGTAGGGGGATTCTAAATATTTCATAATTTTAATTTGATTTTAATTAATTTTAAATTGATTTTAACTGTTTATGTAATTCTCTGTCGTTTTGTAAGCCGCCCTGAGTCCTACGGGAGAAGAGCGGCATATAAATTACATAAATAATAATAATAAATAATAATGATACCCTGGTGCAATCAATGTCCTCAGATGCAGCCAACACCACCCTCTTCAGGATCCAAAGTCACCCTATTCCAGCACTTGGGGAAGCAAGCAGCTAGTTACAATTTGCTAAAAGACTAAGAAGATTGGAGCTTTTAATTGCTGAATCTGAAGGGAAAGGTTGTTCCCCTGGATAAAGGCTGCCATGGTACACTTCCTAGGTCCTATAGATAGCAACATTTAAGGAAAAGGAGCTGTAGCTAGAATATAGCAATCAGTTTGAAAGTTTCATGCCCTGGAAATGTCACCATGAGAAGGCAATAAAATATTATATGCAAACTACAAGTTTTTCCCATACTGACCGTGGACAAAAGAGTGTCCACTACAGTGGTAGGTTGCCCCCAGTTTGGATCGGTTCTATAGAACTGGTAGTAAAACTGGCGAGAGCTCCACCCACCGACCCCAATGTAATCAGGAAGCTTCTGTGCATGTGCATGACCCCATTGCGAACCAGTAGTAAAGGTAAGTAGAACCCACCCCTGATCCACTAGCACAACTATAGGCAGCAAAATAGCATAAAGTTTGGAGGTTAAGTTGTGTAGCACACACAGCTGTCTTTTTCAACAGAAGGCAATACCTAGAAAGCAACTATTTTCCTTCAATGTCTTCTTTCTGAGGCAGCTGGCATAGCTTTTACACCATCTATAAGTGATCACATGTGTTAGCTTGTTATGTTTCTTGCGGAATAAATTTGACAAATGCATAGATTTTGTTAACAGTTTATGATTTTTTTAAAACCATTTTTCTTAACAGAAAAAAAAATATGTGAAGCATCAGTCAGTTGGCAGTTCAATGTGTAAAACATAATCTTTTTTGATAACAATATCTAACTAGTTTGGCTCAATTCGTGCAGACTATTTTTTGTTTTGTTTTCACTCTTCCTCGGCTTCTCCATGAGATTATTTATGATTAGTGAGAGATTAGATTATGCTGGGCCATGGCACTGAATCTGCACATCCTCTCCATGCCATCAATGTGTTATGCCATTGTGTCTGTTCTACACTGCATTGTATTTCCATTTGTTGGTGATCCCATTATCACATGACTAGTTAGCAGTCATGAGAAATTATCCCCAGAACCAGCTGCCTGCTTTATGTGACACTTCCTTTGAAGTACAAGTAGAAATATGCCTTGTGATCTCTGCAAAAGATCTATCTTTTTGTTCTCGTATATTTATGCTTGTCTCCTTGCATTGGCAGCAAATGCATTTGGAATATAATTTTTCAATTGCTGCTTATGGTTGCAAAACCAGGACTCTGAAAAAAGGTAGATAGGAGAAAAAGATAGGAGACCTTTGAACTATGGTGCTGGAGGCGACTATTACACATCCCTTGGACTGCAAAAATAAACAAAGTTCCAGACCAAACCTCACCAAAAATATCACTTGCACCCAAGATTGCCAAACAGAGGCTGTCATACTATGGTCATGTCGTGAGGGCTGACTCACTCGAAAAGTCAATCATGCTGGGAGAATTCAGCAGAAAAAGGAGAAGGGGCCACCCTAGTATGCTCCGGCTGGACGCTATAAAAGATGACACTGAGATGACCATAGAGAATTTGAAGAAGGCAATGTGAGACAAAGGGGCATGGAGATTCCAGACAGTTAGAACAATTAATCAGTGGAACAACTTGCCTTCAGAAATTGTGAATGCTCCAATGTTGGAAGATGTTGGATAACCATTTGTTTGAAGTGGTGTAGGGTTTCCTGCCTAAGCAGGGGGTTGGATTAGAAGACTTCCAAGGTCCCTTCCAACTCTGCTATTCTGTTCTGTTCTGTTCTGTTCTGAGAGTTGGATATGACTGATGACTGGCTGATGACGATGATGATGGCATTTGGAAGCACGTCTCACTATAAATTACAACCCAGTTTATTCGTTAAAAGGCAGCAATGTAAGTACATTAGGATCTCAAATAGTTCAATTTTAAGATGACTCATTCATGATCATTTCTTTAAGACAGAGGTCCCCAACCGCCAGGTCACAGCTCACTACCAGTCTGTGGCCTATTCCCAACCGGGTGGCAGGATGGC